TATATATACCTTTGCTCTCTATTGGAATAAGACACACAATTCTCTCCATTCTCTTCTTCTCTCATTCATAACAAGATCAAAATTATTATGTTTTCTTAGTATGTGCAAAATTTCTAAAACATCATACATATTAAAACGGAAAGAGTAATAAATAATAAATCCAAACGACAAAATATATATGTATATACATAGCTATGAAAATGTGAAAAGTAATTGACATATTAATATACTGTGTGGACGATTATGTCCTTTGAAGTTTATGTGGTATTCCAACGAAAGTTCTGGCGAGAAAGCAAAATAAAGTTCTGGTAACAATTCCGAAGACAGCGCCAACAAGGGCATCAAACCTAGCGTACATGAAAGAGAGGTTTCTGAAACAACATAATACAAGCTGCTGGAACAGATGCGGAGCTATTCCAACACGTGGAGAAAAGTGAGATTGAGCTCTTATTGAATTAGAAAGCCCAATAATGATAGATGTTAAAAGCCCACATGACATGAAACGTGGGAGTTTTGTGGTGGTAGTATAAATGGCAAGAGGCGTTGACAAAAAGAGTTACGCACCTAGGGTTCCTTTGTGAGATGCACACATGTGTGTGTGGCGTCGTCCCACCATATTGATGGTGGTTTGTCTATGAAGATTGCAGCCGTTGAGAAGACGGTGTTGCTGGTTGGTTGTCAAGCATGCAAGCTTAATACATATCTTCATAGTTTGTCCATGTAGAAAAGAGTGGTGGTATGCCATATAACAATTGTAAGTTGCGGCATTTTCTAATGGATTGATTATGGACTAGGTCTCGGGGATGTAGGAAAAACCGAACCTCATGAAAAAACTCCGTGTTCTTTATTTTATTCTCATACATACTCGTTACAAACACAAATGTAGAGATCTAGCCACAAACCACTTTTTCACTACATACACTTTAGCTAAGGACTAGCAACAGTAGATGTCAAATGGGGAAGGAGACTGTGAACCACATTTGATTTCAGTGTCACTTAGTGTGGGTTGTCTCTTTGGTGCCAAGCTTTTCTAGTGGGGAAATTGCAGATTTTGTGTTCACCAATATGTATAGGGTCATTAACCTTCCAATGGAGCACCCTAATAAGGATACTACATCCAAATTAGTACTGGTTGAAATGTAAAATTGATGGTTTTTCTGCACAAAGAAGGACCTTACCATGGGATGGGGTGGATTCTCATAGACACACAAGGAGAAGTGAAGTAGACTGGAGCAACAGTGACACTAAAGACAAAGACCACCATGAAAACATAAGTAGAAGCCCTCAAATGGGCCATTATATATCGAATTGGGATATGAGCATGTTTTGTTTAAATCGAATGGCAAAGAGATTTTGGATTCGGTGAGACAAGAGTCTCATAAACTCCACCTCAATCCCATATATCAAGACATTCAAAAGCTTTCTTTCTATGGTGAAGTTTCATGTGTTGTCTTCAATTCAAGG